CGTGACTCCCTTGTCCGCTCCACACTCCCCTCCAGCCCCACACACCCGGCACTTTTCCCTGCAACCGCAGGAAGTGCTACACCTGCCCCCACACCTCCTCCCTCACCTCCATCCCAGGCCCCAAGAAGACTTTCCACATCAAGCAGATGTTCACCTGCACATCTGCCAATGTGGTATACTGCATCCGCTGTACCCGTTGTGGCCTCCCCTACATCGGGGAAACCAAGCGGAGGCTCAGGGACCGCTTTGCAGAACACCTATGCTCGGTTCGCAATAAACAACTGCACCTCCCAGTCGCGAACTATTTCAACTCTCCCTCCCATTCCTCAGACAACATGTCCATCCTGGGCCTCCTGCACAATGATGCCATCTGAAGGTTGCAGGAACAGCAACTCATATTCCACTTGGGAACCCTGCAGCCCAATGGTATCAATGTAGATTTCACAAGCTTCAAAATCTCCCCTCCCCCTACCGCATCCCAAAACCAGCCCAGCTCATCCCCGCCTCCCTAACCTGTTCTTCCTCCCATCTATCCCCTCCTCCCACCTCAAGCCACACCCCCATCTCCTACCTACTAACCTCATCCCGCCCCCTTGACCTGTCCGTCCTCCCTGGTCTGACCTATCTCCTCCCTACCTCCCCACCTACACTCACCCTTACTGGCTCCATCCCTGCCTCTTTGACCTGTCTGTCTCCTCTCCACCTATCTTCTCCTCTATCCATCTTCTATCCGCCTCCCCCTCTCTCCCTATTTATTTCAGATCCCCCTTCTCCTCCCCCATTTCTGAAGAAGGGTCTAGGCCCAAAACGTCAGCCTTCCTGCTCCTCTGATGCTGCTTGGCCTGCTGTGTTCATCCAGCTCTACACCTTGTTATCTCAGATTCTCCAGCATCTGCAGTTCCTACTATCACAGATAAACATTACATTGCAGTAGATCAGCACAGGTGCCTTCCACACACGTGGTCTGATGGGCCTCACAAGCCGCAGACTGCCCGTGCCAGTCCCCAGTACAACAATTGTCCCTGCTCCACTCTGCTACAGGCCTCCAGCCCGCTCCGCCCCTCCACTGTTAACAATTAGTAGGACAATGGGGAATGTGGAGGACTCTGTCAGGACTTCCCAGCCTGAGAACAGCCCCCTGTTGAAAGTTGGACCCTGCAGCTCTGTGGAGACTGGAAGCTGGCTGGACATTGAAGCCGTAGGTTCTATACCCCAGCCACAAGACCAGCCACAAGGGTGGAAAAGCCTTTGCTTTAAGGAGCCACTTGATTCTAGCCCTCTTTATGCATGAAATTGTTGCACACATACTGGAGGCCTCCTTGTTGACGTGCGCTCATGCTCTTCTGTCTAAGGAGCATTCACCTCTCCCAGTGAGGCTGCTAACCTTTTAACGGTGGAGACCCGGAGCGTCTGCAACTTCAGGAAACCTCTAGGAAGATTGTACATGATTCACAAACCTTTAAGGACTGACTCTGTCTTTGTTCCCAATGAATTATTTCCAAAAGCTGCATGATCAAGTTCTTATCCTCAACTGCTTTCCACTTTATGCCAATAGTCTGTTGATATTTCAGTCACAACCTATTTCTGTAATTTGAATTCTGAACTTTTGTGTTTGTTGATTTTTTTCTAAAATATAGAATATGTGTGCTGCGGACATTCACCCAATTGCACTGCTGGGAGCTAAGCGATTTGGCTTATCCAAAAATAGTCATGTTGCCGTGGAGTTTGACGATACCAAAGTGAAAACTAGGTAATTGTTGATCTTCTACACAAGATAATGATTGCATGACATTCACCAATTTCATAGCCAGGGCTGAACATATTCTTCATTGCACATTTTGTTATATATTTGAACTGGCATAAGAATTATTGAGTTACCTTTACTGCCAATAATAAACTGATGAAGAAGAGAGTCACCTTTTACAGGAAGAAGCTGAGAATTGAATGTAATTAAGGAATACATAATGATTCTTTTCACTTTGACTGTTGTTTATGATTCTCAGAAGATTGGTTTCAAGGTGAACAGGACTTTTCCTGCATTAATGTGATAGATAAAATGTTTCCTTTTTGAAATTGAATATTACATGCAACCCATGCTTGTTTGTTTTGTAATGACAACTTGTATTTATTTGTTATTAGTTCAATTCTGATTTAAACTTCTCACAGAGACAAGCAGTTTAAGGAGATCTTATGCTTACATTTTGAATGAAAAGTTATTAAAGATTGCATTGTATATATGTGATGAAACGGATTATGAAAATAAGTTCTTGCATGGTATTTAGTACAATATTCATGACAATCTTCTGAATGTTGATTAAAGGCTTTGACTTGCTTACAGGCTTATAATTGAGTTTGAAATCCAAACAGAAGCAGAATCTGGTCTTGTATTTTATATGGCAAGAATTAATCATGCAGATTTTGCAACCATTCAGATAAAAGATGGAATGGCTCATTTCAGCTATGATCTTGGAAGTGGAAATGCAAGCACAGTTGTTCAAAAGAAGATAAATGATGGTGAATGGCATAAGGTAAAACATACAAAATAAATTCAATTGCTAGCTGACTTAAGTGAAGTTCTATTTCAAGATGTATTATACCAAGCAGGTATCTTACATAAAATATTCTGTATTGTTGCAAATGCCAAGGAACTGCACCCATCAATGATACAATGAGCACAATATTATGTGAAGTATCATCGATTGACAAGCCGTTTAGAGAAAGTATATAGAACCAACAATTGGAATCAGACAGGAGGGGAAAAGTTGCAATTACAAGCAGCCTGACTGACTAACTCGTGCTTCTTTTCACTTTTCCTGTCACCTCCACTGAGATAACATTTGCAACATGCCCCTTTCCCAAATCATGTATTAAGTCCCACCATCATTGAAGGGACAACCACCACTAGGACCTCAATTCAGACAACATCATTTAACTCTACCAAAACTTCTCTGTTTCACCTTTCTCTACCTCTTCTTTCTCTGTCATCGACCTTTCTTCCACCCCTCCCTACTTTCTCTGCTGCCTCATCACTTATTGATCATACTTTTTGCCTACACTTCTTCCTTGTCTGTTATCCCCATGTTCCTCACTTCCTCTCTGACCTTTTTCTCACTTTTCTCCCCTGTTATCTCCTCCTGCTGTCCCCATACATCCTCACTCTGTTCCTGTCATCTCCAACTGGAGCAAAGCCCCCAGACTGAGCATTTGAAGTGCAGACTCCATCAATCTTCTTCTGTTCAGACATGGCACTGATGGGACTCCAAAGCTGCCAAGCAATCTAATTGGCTGGCAACTCTCACAGACAGTATTTCCTCCCAGAGGTTCTGATTCTGACTCTGTTTGATATTATTCCTTATTCCTACATACTCTGCTATTACAAACATTACAACAGACTTTAACATCTTCCCAATGACAGATGTTAAGGTAACTGGCACATAGTTACCTAATTTTAGCTCCTTTGCTTTTTGAATAAGGGTGTTACATTGACAGTTTGCTGATCCTCCAGAATGTTTCCAGAATCTGAGGATTCTTGCAAGATGACTACCAGGCTGTTTTTATTCACTCATGGAACATGGATGTCGCTGGCTGGGCCAGCATTTTTGGCCTGTTCCTTGTTGCCCTTGAGAATGCATCCACTATGTCTGTAGCTAATATCCTAAACTGCAAGCCATCAGGTCCAGGAACTTATTGGCTTTTACCCCATTAGTTTTTTAGCACTTTCTCTCTAGGGATAATTATTTATAGGTTTTATATATCATCTCCTCTCCAATTTGCCCCTTGATTATTTAGTATTATTGGAATGAAATTAATGACTTCTACCATGGTGACTGATGCGAAGTATTTCCTCAACTCCTCTGCCATTTCCTGGTTCCCCATTATTATTCGACTAGCCTCATTCTCTAAGAGGTGTATGTTCACATTAACCTCAAATATACACTTATAGGTTTTTCTTGGTCATATATTGTTGGTTTTTAAAATTTTATGAATTCTCTGGCTTATCACTGATCTTTGACACGTTGTATGATTCTTGTTTTCTTTCAGTTTGATGCCAACCTTTACCTACTTGGTTAACCATGACTAGCTAATCCCCTTCTTAGAACCCTCCTTCCTCTCTGTGATACAACATCGTTATGAGTTGTGAACTGTTTTCATAAATGGTTGCCATTGTTTCTCAACCATCTTTTTCCTGTCAATTCCAGCTAATCCTGCCCTTATTCCTTTGTGATTACCCTTATTTACGTTTAGCACAGTTATTTCTGACCAAAGCTTCTCACTTTTAAACTGAATGCTGGATTTGACTATGCTATGGTCACTTGGTTTGCAAGGAAATTTTTTAATCAGAGATCATTTATCAAATCTGCTTTATTACACATTACCAGATACAAAATAGAATGATTCCTATTTGAATCCACCATATATTGCTCTGGGAAACTGTCCCAAATATATTCTATGAATTCTTCTTTGTGACTAGCTCTGCCAATTTGATTTTCCCAATCTACATAAAGATTAAAGTCACACATGAATAATGTACTGCTTATTTTACATGCCCTCATTATCTCCTTATTTATTCTCCATCCTGCAGTATAGCTACTGTAATTGGGCCAATGGACTCCTCCAACCAATGTCTTCTACCCCTTGTGATTTCATAACTCCACTCAGATGGATTTTACATCTTTTGATACAAGATCAGTTTTTTGCTATCATACTTATTTCATCTCTTATTAACAAAGCCACCCCATCACCCTTTCTGTTCTGCCTGTTCATATGAAGAGTCACATATACTGAATATTTAATTCCCAATTCTGTTCTCATTGTAACCAAGTCTCTCTAGCGACTGTGATATCAAACCCATTAATCTCTACATGTGTTGCTCATTCATTTATTTTGTTTTGAATAGAATATGCATTTAAATAGAGGGCCTTTAAGTTTGTCTTTTTTAAAATCGTTTTTTCTCCCTTTAAACACATTTGCTACTGTTTTCCTATGTTTGTACACTTCCTGTCCTACTCTGGACATTGTTATTCAAATAGCTGCTCTGTAGTGCTGCCAAATCCTTTTACAATATGAATCTACCTTTCCCATCTCCAACCCCGACACAAATTAGGTTAAAGTCCATGCTATAGCTTGTAATGGAGTGTGGCGGCAGTCAGTGATCAGAACACGTGGATGCCCCCTGCAGTGGTCTGCTGCAGAGAGCCCTCGGGAAGAGAGACTGTGATGATTGTCTCTTTAACCTTGCTTCTTGTTTTTCTATATTGTGTATAGCTGTAATGTAATTTTTTTTTCATTTCTCTATTCTGTAACTAAGGATTGTACCAAGGTACTCTGTACCTAAGATGGCTCTGTGTGTTGGTGAATTTGTTACACCGTAACTAATTTTGTAACCGAAGAAGCTTTCCTAGGTACCTTTGTACCTAAGATGGCACTCTAAGTGGCAACTTATAAATTTTCACTGTACTCATGTAACAATAAAGCTCTAGATATTGGCTCTCAGCAGGGTCAAGTGAAGTCAGTTATCAGAACAGATCCCTTCTACTCCAATGCTTTTCCATTGAGGTTCTAACTATTCAAATTATTTCAGCAGAATCTCCTTTCTAGTCCTATTGATGTCATTAAAACCTATATGGATAACAAAAATTGGATCCCTCTCCTCTTCCTCCAAGTTCCTGTCCAGCCTGAGGACATGTCAATAATCCTGGCACTGGGCAGGCAACACAGCCTTTGGGACTTACACTCACGGCTGCAGAACACAGTATCTGTCTTCCTAAATTGAATCAGTTAGTCTGAGCGGTGTGACTACCTCCTGGAGCAAAGTGTCCAGATAACTTTGTCCCACCATCTTGAGGCACAATTTCTGCAGCTTGGACTCCAGCTCCTCAACTAGGATACAAAGTTTCTCGAGTTGCAAATACTTACTACGGATGTGTTCACTCTGGATCACCTTGGTATCCAGCAGCCCAGCAACTGCAAAGTTCTAATACAAACAGCAAGGGCAAAAGAGAGAATTCTGTCCTATGGGGAATTGTTTAAACTGGTAAGAAGAGTGACTCAATGAATAGGAAGATTTAATCAACAATTTTAAAGGTATTTGACAATGAACATTACAATTTTAAAAATGTTTTTGCATTGGATTAAACAATGAAGATGGCTTTAAAAATATCTGCAAAAGCGTATATGAATGAAGGAAAATTTCTACATTTGTTTTATTCTGGTAGTCAATAATAAATTAGTAGATTAGATCAGCATTACAATGATTTGCTTTTCATTGTATCAGGAAACAGTGCTGCCTTGTCAGATAAGCATTTCAATGAGATGCCATTTGCTTTCTTGATGATATCCCTGGTACAATATCAAACTAGAACAGTGAGTTCTCTTGGTATGAGGCCAATTTTTACACCTCAGTGCACAATGGCAAATCAGGTTACCTGATCACTCATATTTGTTGCTGTTTGTGAGAATTTGTGACTTACTCAGGGACAGCTACATTGGTCAACAAATTAGCAATGATCCCGTGTCAGAAGAACTTTGGAATATCCTGAGGTGGTGAAAGTTATTACATCAATGTCAATTTTTTTCTTTATACTTGCTGATAAAGTTTACAATTTTGCAAATTTTTTTTGGTCAAGTATGACATGTAACATGTTTTAATAAATTTGTATTTACTTCATGTAGGTCAGAATTGTCCGGGATAGGAAGAGAGTAACAGTTACAATTGGTCTCACTGTAGCAACTGCAGTCAGTCCTAAAAATGCAGATATTCTGGATGTCGTGGGTATGATTTATATTGGAGGATTGCCCAAGAACTACACAACAAGAAGAATTGGCCGTGTAAGTTGTGAACAATCCCAGCCATCTAAAGTCTATAGAAAATCAAACTGCTGAAATTCGGAGGTTATACTGTCAGCAAAGTCTAATTTGATGTGAACGTCTGTTGGCAAAACAAGCAAAGCAGTCATACTGCCAATTCACAACACTTTTCGTTCAATGAAAATCTACGTTGGAACACCTTAAGTTAGATATGCCACCATTCATACCGAGATGTCTGAACTGTTCTCCCATCACAATCATTTAGTCTGTAAAATTAACTCTTTGTGATTTTTCAGCACTTCAGTCAGTCCTTCATAGAGTTGTAGAGTCATACAACATGGAAACAGACCCTTTGGTCCAACGAGTCCATGCCAAACATAAATCCTAAACTAAAGTAGTTCCACCTACCTACTCCTGGCCCATATCCCTCCAAATCTTTCCTATGTCTATACTTATTCAAGTGTGTTTTAAATATTGTAACTGTGCCCACATCTACCACTTCCTCAGGACGTTCATTTCACACGTGAACCACCCTCTGTGTAAATTTTTTTACACATTTTTAAATCTCTCTCCACCACCTTAAAGACTGACAATTAGTCCACAGTCTTGAAATCCCCATCCTAGGAAAAACACACCTGCCATTAATCTTATCTATACCCCTCATGATTTTATAAACCCCTATAAGGTCACCTCTCAGCCTCCTACGCTCCAGTGAGAAAAATCCTAGCCTATCCAGCCTTTCTTTATAACCCAAACCTTCCATACCGGGCAACATCCTGGTAAATTTCTTCTGAAACCTCCCCAGCTTAATAATATCCTTCCTATAACTGGACTACCAGAATTGGACACGGTAGTCCAGAAGAGGCCTCACCAATGTCCTGTACAACCTCAACATGACTTCCCAACTCATATACTCAAAGGACTGAGCAATGAAGACAAGCGTGCTAAACACCTTTTTAACCACCCCATCTAAAGGGCAACTAGGGATGGGCAAGAAATGCTGGCCAGCCAGCGACGCCCACATCCCACAAATGAACAGAAAAAGAAGAATTGACGCAAACTTCAAAGAATTATGAACTGAACCCCTAGGTTCCTCTGTTCTACAACACTACCCAAGGCCCTACCACTAATTGTATAAATCCTGTTCCCTTTCTTAGCAACAGATTCAATTCATTTTTAAAAATGTCTTGTATTGTATAGCAATCTGGGGAGACTAGATTAGAGTATTGTATGCAGTTTTGGTTACCTGATCTGAGGAAAGATATATTTGCCATAGAGGAATTCCTGGGATGGAGGGAATGTTTCATGAGAAAATAATAAGTGGGCTGAGCCTATGTTCAGTGGAGTTTGGAAGAATGGAAGATGGTCTAATTCAAACACCCAAATTTCTGACAGTATAAATGCAGGAAGATATCTCCAGGTTGCTGGGGTTAGGGAATGGTGGTGAGGGTAATAATGGAGTTGGTGTTGTCTAGGACCAGTGAATGCAGACTCAGAATTAGAGGAAAATTATTTAGGACTGAAATTAGGATTTCCTGTCTCAGAAAGGGAATCTTTGGAACTCTCTAACCCAGCAGGCTATGGAGACCCAGTTGTTGTGTATGTTCAACTCTGAGATTGATGGATTTTTACATAATTAAAATATCAAGGGATGTGGGGATAGCACCAAAAACAGTGTTGAAGTAGAAGATCAGCAATGATCACATTGGATTGTGGAGTGGGCTGGAAAGGCTCAATAGCCTTTTCCTGCTCCTGTTTCATATGTTTTTGCATTCCTTTTTGTCTGACATTATTTCTTTACCTCCTTTGAGGGCACGATGCAAACCATTTCCACACTCACTAATGTAAGCCTAAGGAATGGAATAGTTTTCTACCAGTGCTAACAGACTACAGATCTCCTTTGCAACATTTTCCTTTCTACCCAATCCACAGAGTTCGCTTGATTATGTCTTATCAAAATAAATGAAAAGTCATGGTCGTTTCTAATTTAGTGAGCATGTTTTATGCTTAACAATTTTATGCTTTACCATTGGATCATATAATTTTTCAGCAGGCAAGCATGCCATTTGACCTGTGTCTAACTAGTTTTTATCTAGAGCAATGCATTTCTAATCCTATAGCCTTTCAGCTTTATCTCTACTTCAGATGTATGTCAAAACTCTTAAAATATGCAATGATCTCTGTCTCTCTCATGATAACTAGATTCCGTTGCATCAATATCTTTCTGTAAACAAAATTCCCTGAATTTATTTCCTGTAACGACTGATTGGAGTAGCACAGTGGAACTGAAGCCCCACTGTTCCCAGAGTTATCACAAATGTGAAACTATGTTTAAACCACTGAATTGCCCCATTTTACCTCACTGTCTAATTCAGTTTAGTAGAACAGGCAAACCAGTCTTTTTTGCCCAATAACAAGAAAATAGCCATTGTAATCAAACAGTTTTTAATCAATTGCTGGACAAGGCAAGAGTATTGTGGGTGGGGGTGTTGGGGGAATGGTAAAGAAACACAGTTCTGGCACAGTGTGGATCACAGATAAGTTTCTTTTGGCACCTTTCAATTCCTTCAATTCTTTGCTAATGATGTGAGATCATGAACTAATTCTCAGTCTTTCATTCACTGGTTGAGAATTTGCCCTTTCAATGCCTCTCAAAGTTTTGATCCCCCTTTTTCCTTACGACAAAGAAACTTGCAGAGATAGCAGTTCAGGGAAAAGTGGTGAGTATGAACAGCTATTGGGAGAATTTCTGTCACTTCACCGCGCGGGAATAAGAAAGAGAGATTTATTTGCATTTTCTTTGTAGACTAGAATCATCTTTGCAGTACTGGCCACACACCAGGCATGGTCACATGGTCAAGATCTAATCAAAGTGTTGTTGCAAACAGTTGTCCCATCTATAGCCATTGGTTCTGTGTTATATGCTTTTACTCTCACTATTACAGGGGAAAGTCACATTGTGAATGCAAGAACTCACAATGTGTTGAAGTAAATATGATTTTGAAAACTGCATCCACCTCCTTGCACATTCTCCTTGATTTAAAGCAGTATCGTACTTTTTAATTCACAGTTCAAAAATAAAGGAAATAGAAATATGTGATCTTTACACTCCCCACTCTCTTAGTTTAAATTAATGTTCCACCTAACAAAAACCTCAGCCAGATTAAAAACCCATTCCCTACATATGTCAAATTAATTGCTTTCTCAAATAAACTCTACTAAGTTTGTCAAACCTGCTCATGCTGGCTGTCCTTGATTACATCCATCTAAATCAGTCTCAGATTTGGATTCCAAATGTTTGCCAACAATTACCATTAGACTAAACACTGATACCACTAGCAAAAACAGAAATTGCTGGGAAAGCTCAGCAGGTCTGCCAGCATCTGTGGAGAGAAATCAGAGTTAATGTTTTGGGTCCAGTGACCCTTCACTCAGATTGCATTCGGACCTTTACTATACTATTTCTATCGATTTTTAAATATTGCTTTGATTATTTGAAAGTTCGCTATCTAAATTTAGTGATTGCCTTTGTATTCCTATATGTTGTTCACTTATTGTGTTTTTAACACTTACAGGTACTCTACAGTATAAATGCTTGTATCCGTAATTTTAAACTGAACAACAAAACTTTAGATCTGGATAATCCAACTTCCAGTCTTGATGTCGGTGTCTGTTTTCTTAATAGTCAAAGAGGAAATTATTTTGATGGAACAGGATTTGCTAAAGCAGGTAAATGTATTTGATTGATTAGACAGTAAAATTATTTGCAGTTACTTCATTGTTAAAAATCAGAGTTAGTCTGGTACAGTAGGTTAATAAAATCATGAGGGGCATAGACAAAGTGAAGAGCCAAAGCCTTTTCCCCAGGGTAGGGGAGTCCAAAACTAGACGGTTTAGTTTTAAAGTTTAAAGGGGACCTGAGGGGCAATTTTTCACACAGAGGGTGGTGCGTGTATGGAACGAGCTGCTAGAGGAGGTGGTGGAGGCTGGTTTAATTACAACATTTAAAAGATTTTTGGACAAGTACATGAATAGAAAAGGTTTAGAGGGACATAGGTCAAACACAGGCAAATGGGACTAGTTCAGTTAGAAAATCGGATCTGCATGGATGAGTTGGGCTGAAGGGTCTGATTCCGTGCTCAATGACTCTGTGATTCTATGAGAGTCATTTTAGTCAGCTGTCATCTTAAAGCACTGTTCTTGCAAAGAAAACTGACTCAAGCCTCTTGAAGCTACTTTATATATTGCTGTATGCATTTGGGCCCATGTATATAATCACCTCCAAAACCTCAGAGGTGTAAATATGAAGAGTGCATACATTAAGAAATTGTTAATGATAGTAGGAACTGCCGATGCTGGAGAATCTGAGATAACAAGGTGTAGA